CTTGTGCAGACTTATACAGTCTCATTATCATATAACTGTACAATATTTATTAAAACATCATAAAAAAGGTAAAGGTAGAATTCGATACAAAAGTATGGCATAATTCACGGGATACAGAATAGGTTACTTTAGAAAAAAAAAGATAAATAATATATTATATATAAATATCCCTCATTCAACGCTGACATCTTATTAACCATTAGCTATCAAAAATTATGGAGCCAGTACTGTCAATTTCAGATGATTTAAGTACTTTTTGTTTGATATTTTATTATTATTATTACTATAAGCTAGCAGAATTCTTTTATGCCCATAAAATTGGTTGCAATAAAACCCACGAAAAGTGTATTAGCTAAACATGAAACTAGACTTTTGCTTTGGCGTTATACTGAAGATGTCTAAAGCCTTCTCATACATATTTCCCTACGTTTACAAAGTTTAGTAAGGGCTTCAGAGCATATTCACAAGTGGCATCAAAAGCAGATAGAATCCCCAGAATCCATTGATCGTGAGAACAGGGGACCTAGGTTCTCTATTCCGAAACATATTACAGAGAGAGGACATAAAATTGAAAGTTTACACATCGTTTAAACCTATCTATAGAACGTGTTTGGAGGAGGACGGATCCTAAAGTTTGTGTAAGCCCTAGCTGGTAGTTAGGAAGTTTAAACCACCTTTATGCTTTCAAAGCAACATTTCGTCACCACACTGAAGCTTCCTTGGCAAACTTTATTTTCATACCGTAGCGGATGTACTGTTAACTCTGTTATTTGGTTTAGTCATCTTCATTGTTATTCTGACCTTCAATATGTCCTTTGAAATTGACCTATGTTTATTTTCTCACCTCTTAACTCTTTGTTGATTTCATATATATTCCTGTAAAAAGCCTGTGTGTGATCAGATTGTTTAGAATGTGTCGCTTAAATATATTGCACATTTCAAACGACTAACTCGCGGCTTCCCGTTTGGGTTCTACACGAGCGATGGCCTGGCGTGTGATATCATTCATCTGATGGCTTGTGTTTCTCAGAGTATGGCCTTCAATCCACCTTCGTTTCTTCCTGCATATTTGTTGCACAGTCAGTCTTTGTCGGGTTGGTTCGCTTATTGCCAGAGATGCCTCCTTGTTGTTGTTATTGTTGTTTTTGGCCGGCCATCTGATCTTGTGCAGAGTATTGAGAGAAGACAGCTGTTGATGAAAGTGTATAGTTTGTTCAAAGTGCCCTTCGTGACGTGGCGCTACGTTCCTGCATCCGTTCGAGCTGCCACGTCTTCTTATTGTATTGTCTAAATTCATATAGAGAACTAATTGTTTTTAAAAAAATTACTACATTATTACACAAGAACGGAACTTAGGCACTGTGGTAGAGTACATTTCCCTCACACAATATATTGTCATCATACACATTACATTCACTGTTAAAATTAATAAGGATGATGTAAACATTTTTCCCAACAGTTTTCCTGTAAGATGCTTATAATAGGAGAGAGAGAGAGAGAGGAACAAATCATTGACACTGAAATACCAATATGTATTTCCTGAAACAGACAATATGTTTTTTATGAAGTGATTAAAATGGCACACCGGTTTCCAAAATTTTTTTTCTCCCACAGAGAACAGTTCCCAAAAACGATTACAGTGACAATTCAATAAAAAAATAAAAATCCCTACAAACCAACACTTGAATACCAATGAGATGCTCATTGGCGACTGGCCCTATTCAGGTAGGTAGTTACCTGGGTTCCAGTGATAAGTCGTGACCAGTAGGGTGCAGCTGGTCGGGTGTGAGGACAAATGCTAGCCACCGAAGACATTGGCTAGCGGTCGCGCTATGTCGTGAATTAGCAGAAGTTAGAATTCAAGGACCATTGGATCGGGTCCCAGTGGCTTAATGGTATACGAGCCCGCCTTGTAACCAGAGGGTCCTGGTTTCGAATCCCGGTGGGTGCGTACTGATGAAGAGTCTCCAACTAGGACATAACAGGTGTTCGGTACTCCCAGGTTTTCCAATGCTTCTCTAACTAATGTCACCTCATGATGAGATCCTGAAAAAAACAACTAATGATAATAATGGTTGCCTTCAGGGATAACTTTTATATTTCAACGATACATTAAAACAGTAGACTTTTGCAGTGAGTATTGGAAGTTTTCAGTTTTAAAAAGAGTATTATTGCTCTCTATCTCTTTCTCACGCTCTCTCTCTTTCATACTGATTCGTCCAGCTGACAATATGCAGAACAAATGATAGTAATACTGTTAAAGTCAACTGCTCTAAAATGACAAAAATGCGACAGCTGATGACATTGATACGTGTAAATTAGCCTGGACTGGTTGTTATGCTTCATTTAAATGAACTAAATTAATCGATTGATCTATGGGGATAAAAAGAAAACAAGTTTACGCTGTATATATTAGTAAAAGACACACTGTGTATTTATTAGACGTGCAATCATCATTTCATTTGCATACAACAGCGTAAACATATTAACCAGAACAGAGTCATCCGAGTAATAAATAATTCAGTGTGTTCAGTTATGTAATCAGGGTTATTATCGTGTATCATCTATGGGAACAATGTTTCGACTGATTACACCACTGAAATAGTAGTCAGTTATTGCCTAGTGCGTCGGTGGCATGGCGGTTAGGACCCTCGCCGACCATGCACATGGTCCGAAGTTCGATCCCTGGCCGACGAACTCCTTTACCTCACTAAGCCAAAAATAATGCTGATAAATAGGAAAGTTGGGCATGAGGCTAGCAACCCCATCCTGTAAAAATTAAACACTGCTACAGAAACTTCACGCCATTAGCTTGAGGCCCTATGTTCCATTGGGGAACGTGATTTGTTTTCCAAATTGTCTAGTATGTATTTTTTTCCTAATTTTTATTTTTTCATTGCCTATTGTTTGCTAAGATAATAATTTATTACCTGTAAAATAGTACCCCAGAAATGTTAGACTTGGTTTTCTTATTGGCGTGTGTGTGTGTGTGTTTAATCTTGATCGAAGTTAGTCCACTAGATCACTCGAAATTGTCAGTTAACTGAAAACAACATTAATGTTGCTGTTTAAATAACATCGAATCAATGGTATTGATAGATTACAGCTCAATAGCATCAACATAAAATAAGCTGAAAGATAATATTGCAAATTCATGAATTTGTAGTTTCTACTGAAGGCCTGCAAGGGCAGTAGTAAGGGCTGGCTGGACTTGCTTCTTTTGAACCCAGAGCACTGGTTGTTTGAGGCGAATGGCGATAGCCTATGCTGTTTGGAGCATGCGGTGCTTAGATGATTTTGGCAATTTATTAGGCACACGGTAGATTACAGAGAAGGATTCTTCAATGCTGGCTTTATGGCCAGCTGGTTTGCACCACATGGTCCAATATCGAACATCATCTGCTTTTGTTGTTGTACCACATAAGTAGTACACTCCACTTGTCTTCCACCACAAATATGAGATTATCACATTGTTCAGCTTCATTTCTGTCCATTATTCCACACACAAAAAATCACTGCTTGTAACAAACGGAAAACGAATATGTGTTTTTATCACCAGAAAACAGAAAGAGCCTTTAAAATTTTGATACATTATCTTCCTATCTGTTCCTTCAACATAACAAAAGAAATTGAATTAATAATGAAAATATATCTCACTATTATTCGTAATATATATGTTAAATCAAGATTTTATCATTAAAAATAGGAAAAACATCTTTTTTATTCCTCCACATTCCCAGCGGAACATAAGACTTCACGCTAAAGGCTTGAAGTTTCTGTAGCAGTGGCAATTACTTTTACGAGATGGAGTTGCTAGCCTCATGGCCATCTTCCCTCTTTACCAGTCTTAATACTGGCTCACCGAGGTAGAGGAGTGCGTCAGCCGGGGATTGAACTCCGGACCACATGAGTGGTCGGCGAACATTCTACAGCTGTGCCACCGACGCGCGTAAAATATATGTGTTAAAACTTCATTTTCTAGTAAAGATTTACAAAATGCATTTTTGTTTGACTTATTTTATCTAAACCATCATTTTTTATGTTCGTTAAATAAATGTAGACATGCAGGCGTATACAAGTGGTTTGATTTCGTCTATATGGCAGTCCGAAAGTTCTAGTGTTTGCGAAATTCACTGTAAAACTATTTACCAATAAAAGTGTGCACTAAACATCTCAATAGAAGTATATTTTCAACATGTAAAAGAATGTCTGCACTTCAGTGTATACATCATTTGATAAAAAATTATCGAACAATTAATGCGAAAACAGTTACCACATAGCATACCTTGTGACTCGTGCGTTGGTGGTTCAGCCGTAGGATGCTCACCAACCATGCCTGTGGTCCGGGGTCGATACCTGACCTTTACCTACCTTTGTCGGTTGTAACCTCGATAGAGAGGGGAGCTTGAACGTGGGACTAGCAACCCCTATGCGTGGAAAACATCACTTCTAATGAAACTTCATAGCTGAAACTTGAAGCCCTATGTTCCCCTCGGAAAGCAAAAGGAATTTTTTAAAAATAACTTGTGACTCGTGTAGGTTGCCGTAAATAAGCACCTTTTACTTCAAAGACTTTAAGTCTAATGATCTGTTCTTTGACCATTCCGTGTTTCATCGCTGAGCTTCAAACATCTCAATGTACTCGACAATGCTGATATAACTTAATGTTTTTATCAAACAGTACTCATTAATTACAATGTAGTTGTAAGCTGTCCAGTTTTAAAAGGTATTCTCCAAAGGATAATTATCACTGAATAAGTACATTCAGGCTAAATTTACTGAACTGTCGTGGTTATCGAAATCTGCACAGCGAAAGAAATAAATTACATCCCTTCACTCTCATAACGTTTACTTTACTAGTAAATATATATGACTCGATTCGAAAACTTTTCCTCTATCTTAACCTCCATTTAACTTCCAAAAATGTAGACGATAATATTTCTGAATATTAATTAATTAACTATTTTCAAAATTCTTATCTTTTTTTCTCCTATTCTTAGAACCATTCCAAATAATTGTGAAGCGACCATCTCCTTTCCGGAAGAATTTTATCTTGCGTATACCTCCAGGTAAGTTAAAAGCTTCCAGTTAAATTTTACTTTTTACATTTAAAAGAAAAAAAAATTAATCTTGTGAAGTTGACGAACTTTTAATAGCCTTTTTATGGTTTACAATCATATTGCATAAACTGAAGGTGGCATCTTCTCATTCTTCATTATCATAAGTTTTTTCTTCTCAAATCTGGTCAATATCTCTGTTAATTAGGACCTTTCTACTACTGGGGACCATAAACACAATCGGTAAGAAGGCATTTCTGGCGCTTAAGTGTTCACTGAGTGTAATATGAAATAACCAATAGATGTTCAATGCTGATTGTGTATCATTTCAAATGGTTCTTTAAGACAAACTAATAAGACTGTTTACTGATGACACTATCAATATAATCATAGTGTTGATTCCAATAACTGTGATGGAATCCTAATGTATAAACCAATCAATTAGTGATAACCAAGGCAGCTATCTGTGCTAAAGTGTCACTTGACGTCTTTTAATTACGTTTCCAGCTGCATCATTGATCTAAGTGATAGGACATTGCTGCATATTTGTTTTGTGACGCCAAATAAAAAAGAGACATTCAATTATTGGTTTGTAGGGATTTCATCATGAGCTGATATTGGTTAGAGAAGCACTAGAAAACCTTCAGGGAGTACTGGACAGCTGTTTCGCCGACCTAGTTTAGGACTCTTTATCAGTACGCACCCACCACACGAGGTTCGAACCCAGGGCCTTATGGTTTCAATACTAGCAAGCGAGTAGACTAATAAACCACTGGAACACGATTCAATGGCCCGTCCATGAATTCTAACTTCTGCCAATCCACGACATAGCGCAACCGCTAACCATTGTCTTCGACAAGTATTTGATTTGATGATATAAGATAGTTGGAGGCAGTCGGCAGAATTCACATGTCCTCAAGTTTGCTGTTGTTCTACAGTAGTATGTATCTGCAAACTCTGAGCAGTGGATAGATTATCCCGATGATCGTTTTATATTTTACCTACATTTTAATGTTTCTGCATAAATATGCAGCCTGAAATGGCGCCAGGGGATTCAAACAAATTTACTGTGACAGCTCAACAAACAGCTGACTTTTATTAGGAGAGAATTGTTAACTTCAAACTCCATTAGAAAAAAAAACATTTTCACTAGCGGATAAATTTTACGATTGAGTCTTTAAACTCCTAGAAATTGTACTGACTTTTTGTGGTATGTTTATAAGACAATCCTTTCTAACTTCCATTATAACTGCAATTCATGTATTGTGCGTTAGATTTTCACAATAACTACATCCACAATATTAGTAAATGAAGAGTTCAATCCTATAGACGACAGTGAATTTATGCTATGATAATATTATGAACAATTAATTCTGCTGGAGACGTCATCGGTGCACTAAGTGTTTTGTCGAAACAAAACTATTCTCTTTTGATGCAGTTGCGTTTACTGAGCTGGATGATTTATATCCGAAGCTTTTATTGCCCTACTAGGCAACAAAAGAATGAATATCCACGGAATTTCACCAACAAAAATATACTTCCAAGCCAGCCTACCAAATCAAAGGCCCCCAAGTAAAGCGAAAAGAAAATCGCCTTACCATATTATATAAAGGATATCTCAGAAATCACTGCAAGACTCTTCAAAGCTTTAGGAATTGACATCACACACACACACCAACAAAATCACTTCACTCAGCTCTATGTCAACCAAAAGACTCAACTACGAAAGAAGATAAAGCCAACATCATGTACAAAATAAATTTTAACAGCTGCGAAAAAAACACTACATTGGCCAAAGTGGACGTCCTCTTCGTCTTCGTATCCACGAACATAAGCTAGCCGCCAAAAGACATGATATCCACTCCCTCATATCCCTACATACAGACAACCCCGGACATCAGATCGACTGGGACAACCAGCGTTCAAATATTAGACAGAGGTAACAACAAGCATGCTACAGAATTTTTAGAAGCTTGGTATTTCAGTGAATCGTCAATCAATAGGCACATCGAGATAGACAAAATTTGCCAGCCGATAAGAAGGAAATCTCATACAAAAAGGGTCAAAGTTCAAGTCAGTGAAACAATCAATTCCAATACAGGTAGCCTAGAAGGTGTGAAAACACAGAAACAACCAATCACTTTTAAGGTCACCAGGAGAGATGACTAATTGTGAACTCGTGGAGAAATCCAAAAATCTCACTTCAAGAAATTGAAGTATGCGCTGAAGATGTCGCCTAGTAGGGCGGGCGATGAATGCTTCTCGAATAAACCATCCGGCTAGCTCAGAGAACGCAACCACCTCCATCATATCTAAAACTATTCTATACTGAAATTATGTTCTATTGCAGTATTCAAGCTCTACTCTGATATAAATTTATGCTAGGAAAATTGTGCACGATAACTAATTAGCTTTTCGTGAAATTTATGCTTAAAAAATAACTGTCTAGTTATATTCTGCGTAGACTGATGTCTTACGTCATCTGTTTGCTACATGAAGTCTAGACCTCATTTTGTGAAATACCACAAATACTCTAAATATCTAACTTATGACATATGTTTTACCCTCTATCTTTCTCTCACTCCGTCTGCCTCTGAATTCCCCTTCCTGTATATGTTTTATTGTAGAAAATCAATCGCTCACACCTCACTTACTCTGTTTGTTTTTTTCTTTATTCTTTCAATTCAATGTTCATTAGTTTGTTTGTTCATTCAGCAATCCATGATGTTTTAGTAGTCAGAGGGAAGAGAAGTAAAACTCTTATATGTGTAAAGTAGAAGTGTTGTCTAGTATTATTTTTCACCTTGTATCTCATAGTCTTATTTATGTGCAACATGATCACATTAGCTGATTTTAATCTGTTCTGACACTGAATAAAATACAAGCAGAATAAATCAAGTGTAATCAACTCTCTCTCTCTTTCAGACAGAAATATTAACGCTCATGAAACACCGAAATCTCCATGGTGTTTAATTAATAAAAAGTAGTTGGTGCTCAAATTTACAAAAATTTACTCATTTAATAGTGGATATTAGAGATTACATTTGTCCATTGACAGCTACTATTCAGCTGCACCTTTATTATTAAATGAGCTTGTTTTTTCTCACTATCTGTCTAGGATACAGATTGTGCAGTTATTATTATTCCCTTGGGTTCCGAGTGGAACATGGGGCTTCAACAACACCCCCCTCCCGCTTTCTTCTATTTTCTGTTGTCCTCTTCAGCTAGCTATCCTCACGTTTGCTCATAATCTCTAATCTCCTCTTCCTCCTCCTCCTCCTCTAATTCACATGATATTCTCCATGTCACCCTCACAATGACGACCTACTCGTCGCTTCTCATTCACCTTCCAATCAGTGGCTTATGCCCAATCCACCTCCATTTTCTCCCCAATATTTGTTGTTGAGCAACTGGCTCTTGGTTGTTTGGTTTGTTCCCAGCCAGAGTTTCTTGCTGCGAATTCTTTCTGCCCGGAAGCCTTGCCGGCCATTCGATCAACAGTAAGGAGCCAGCCACTAAATGCGGCAGCTGTTGACAAAAGTATGAAGTAGCCTGTTGGAAATGCTTTTCGTGAATCATGCGCAGTGCAATTTTTGACCCGTATAGAAGCACTGAGTGACTGACTGACTTCACACTTATGCTGAAAACCCGGATCTTGCTGCTTATGCTGAGTGCGGAAGATCTGCAAACTGGTTTCAGGTTGATATAGGCGTATCTTGCCTTTCCGATTCTGAATTTGACACCTTCATCCGTTCCGCATGTAGTTGAAACAATGCTTCCTGACTGTATAAGTGAAGGAGGCAACTTTTGTTAAATCTCTCCCGTTGATGGTGATTGGTGCTGGTTGCTGTTGATGTAGTTGCTGTTCGTTGATTTTCTTCATCACTTCCGTCTTCTCTATGTTCACCTGGAGTCCCACCTTCGTTGCCTGCTTCTTTAACCAGCTTGTTGGTTTTCGCCTTTAAGTCTTCTAGTTTGTATGACACTAGACACATGTAATCTGTGAAATCCAGATCTTCCAAAGTCTTCTTATCAGTGGTCCGGCGTATTCCTGTCCCCTCGCTCCCACAGTCTGACGCATAATCCAGTCCACCACAATCAAGGATATCATCGGTGGTGACAATGATCAGTTAGCCTTGTCTTACTCCTCGCTGAGTTTTCCGTTGTGGATCACTCTGGATTTAGCACTGTCATATAGCCAGCTATTGAATAAGGTTGATAAGGACTTGCACATTGCAAGTTTTAGTGTTGAAGTATTTTTATAACTACTTTTCGGTCAACAGTGTTTGGTAAAGGCCTTTTCGAAGTCGACGGTGCAGTTGCTTATCTTCAGTAACTTTGTTTAACCTTTTTTGAAACCTTAACTTTTGCAAAAACAAATGTAAACAGTATTATAGTTTATAAATAGCCGAAGGCTTTGTTTGATTTTTGGTATTAATCTGAACCACATAGAAAATTAATATATTTATTTATACTTATCTAAAACTTAAGTATTAGTCAACATTAAACCATCACTTAAGTGATCTGAAGAAATCCCACTTGAATGAATCTAGGAATGAACTTTTAGTTAACTCTCAGGATTTAGTTGACATTTGGAACTAATATTGTTGGCCTTCAACAGAATATGAAACTTTGAAATTGTCATAAAACTGTACCATCGATCACAAAACGTGCAATCCAGTGTTTTAGATATGATAGAGAAGATTTGTAGCTCAGGGGGATAATTTTGATGTGGTTTTGTTCTCTGAGCTGGATAGTTAGTTTGCGAAGCTTTCATCACCTTACTGGGTGACATCTTCAGCGCATACTTCAATTTGAAGTATGCGCTGAAGATGTCACCCAGTAAGGTGATGAAAGCTTCGCAAACTAACTATCCAGCTCAGAGAACAAAACCACATCAAAATCCAGTGTTTTAGCGGTTGTTGCAAATCTGATCTAACTAGAGAAGAAAATCAAGAGATGCCGTCTTAGAGAAGACACTCATAATTGAAACTAACGAATACAGAGTGTAG